GGTAAGGATTTATAAAGATAAAAGATCAAGTTCGATGTATTTTATGCTTAAAATATGTATCATTTGAGAGAACGAACATGAAATTGGGAAAGAAATTTATAACGAATCTGATAATCGATAAACTCATGAGAGGAATCATTCAGTATGTTAGATTTTCATACTACACTAAAAATATGATACTCAATCTCAGAACTAATTTGTTTGTTCTAGTAAACTACAGACCTTGTATTTGGCAACCTCTTCACTGACTTCCTTCAAATCACCCTTGGTGAAGATCAAACCAACGTTCCCCTATTACAACAAACAAAGGAACTATGTCAAAAGCTTCATTTGCGAAGATAATTAGCAGGCAAGGCCTCGAACAAAACGATAACAACAAAGTTTTGGAATCTCAGACCACAATATAATACCCATTGCAACACTTACTACAAGAAGAGGAAGAAGATTGAGGTAAGCCTTGTTTCCAGTGTTCTCAGCGTGGATCCTCACAGAACGCTTCATCATGGTATTTTTTCCCATAAGCACAACAGAGTCACCACGAAGACCCTTCCTAATGTTCTGGAGCTGGTTAGATCCAACATTGTCAGCGGCCACAATCAAGACCTGACTGTACTCATCGAGGAGCTGGCAAAGCTTGGAGTCGTAAGCGACCTTCTTTTCAGCCTTGGTGGGTTTCACAGCCATTGAAATGGGTTTGTGATGAAAATCTAAGATACAACAAAAAGGTCTATAAAGGAAAGAAGAGAAGCAAAACCGAGGGCCAAGAAGAAGCTAGTGGCTCTGTCAAGGCGGACAGCGAAGCTATGCCGTCTCTTTAACCTCTGTAGTGCTAAGAAGTTTTTCTAGGGTTTTGGACAACTCCTGGGGAGCTTAGCAGGCTGATGGAAGATGAAAGTGGGCGCTGGTTCGCTTTATATACGTGATTTGGAGGTTAGGGTTTTGATTTAACCTAGATCCGACGGTCAATGTTCATTGTTGAGGCTTTGATGTTTTGGGTCTCGACGCTTAATGGGCTTCTTCATTTTGTACAAAAGCCCACCAAAAGTGGCTTATACTTGAAAGCCCATTAATAGTGTTTGTACCTCTTGAAGGTTGTTGGCGGAAGATTCATTTGGGCTTCGTAGAAAAGGGTTTAGGTTTTAGAGATCGGCCCAGGCCCATTACATTCACCCTCCGTCGTCGTTAGCCAGCGAATGTCCAACGCAGCACCGATCAAGGTATGTGATGTGTTGCGACAGGTATGTCTAACTAACGAACGTTCATCAATTTCAATCCAATGCCTTGATTTTCCAGTAGCACTGGCAACGGCGACGGCGACGGCATCGGCAAATGGCTTCCGTATATCGTGATCGGACGTCGGAGTTTCGGTCACTGTCGGAGACGCTGAAGAAGATCGGCGGAGCCACAGCCGCCGTCAATTTAGCTCAAAATGAACCATCGGTGTCCACGCCCTCCAGATCGCCGGAAATTTCACGATCGGAATTCAGCAAGAAGGCCTCGCGTATTGGATTGGGAATCCAAGAAACCTCTCAGAAGATTGTGAGGCTTGCTCAGTGTATGCATTTTTCGTTACCCTTCTCGAACTACGATTATAATTTACCACCCTTTGCTGCGAGTATCTTTTCCAGATCTGTTTGGTTCCTGGAATATTTATTAAATGGTTCAGATATGGCTGGTTTTCGGGTTGAATTTTTTGCAACTTAGCAACTGGGGTATTGTGAATCTTGTTTCAATTCTTGATGATCCTCCATAAGTGGTGAAATCTTTTCGATACGTTTGTTAGTCTGAAATCTTGCTGTCTATATAGTGAACATTTAAACTCGAGTACTTTGTATTGATCAAATTATTGTTTTCGCCGAATTTCATTTTTGTTTTGTGAACAAGATCCTCCATTGCACTGATTTTCTCTATCTTTTGCCTCTTTTCATTTGATCTTATTTAGCTGTAGAGTGAATATTGGTTGAATTAACAAGTGGTTCTTACGACTAATGATGGCCCTTTTTTATCACTCTGAACTTTGCAGTGGCAAAAAGATCATCAATGTTTGATGACCCAATCAGGGAAATTCAGGAAATGACTGCTTTGATTAAGAATGATATTACCTCCTTGAATGTAGCTATCACAGATTTGCAAACAATCCAGAACATGGAGATAGCAGAGGGGAATTATTCAGAGGATAGAGTTGTTCATTCAACAGCTGTCTGTGATGACCTGAAGAGCAGACTTATGGGAGCTACAAAACGGCTTCAAGATGTGCTAACTACAAGAACAGAGGTCTGTCTGAAACAAATCGATATAACATGTCCCATGCATACTCAACTTTAGCTTCCTAAATATTTAAGTTTATCACTCTAAGTTCTAATTACAATTTTTCTTTTAAATTACAGAATATCAAGGCCAATGAGAGCCGGAGACAAATATTTTCTGCAAATGCAACCAGAGAAAGTCCTTTTCAAAATCAAGCCAAAACTGTAACGCAACCTCCACCTTGGTCAAGTAATACATCTGGAAGTGCCCAATCATCTTTGTGAGTATTCATCGAAGTGACATGCAAATATTGCTTCTAATTCAAGAGACGGAATAATTTTTTCTTTTTCTGTTTTCTGATACCTTAGGTTCTTGTGCTTTGTTTTCTTATCAGATTATCATCAAATGGAGCTCAAGCTGGGGGTCAATTGAGGTTTGTTTCATTGCTACTAAGCATGCCCTGTGTTTTTCTTGTTCTTGACGAGCTGGAACTACATACATGGTTGAAATTAGTATTTCAGTCATATATCCATGCAGTTGGTGTTCTTTTTATCTATACATTTGATGCGTAGTAATGATGGTAAGAAAGTTGCAGGGTTACCACCTTCACCAATATAATACATGCGAGGGATTTTGTCATATTGCTGACCCAAATATGTTTGCCATCTTAACCTGTATATCAATCATAGACATGATCTTCAAATGGTTTCTTATTGCACGTCTTTTTAACTTTTTGCATTTAGTTTATCCTGATGTTGGTTTCCTTTTTGAAAACTGGATCTGGTTGCTTGGTTAATTTTAATTGAAACAGTACAGTAGGTGCAGTGCAGTAGATTAATCTGCTTGTCCATAACTATTTGTATTGTGCCTTGTTAAGTCAGACGAAGGTTAGCTGTTGAGAACACCCCATCACAGCAAATGGAGTTGTCAATGTTACAGCAGGTGGTTCCTAGGCAGGAAATTTATTCCCAAAGTCGTGCCGTTGCTCTCCATAATGTGGAATCCACTATTTCAGAACTCAGTGGAATTTTTACACATCTTGCCACAATGGTAGCACATCAAGGAGAACTTGCTATTAGGTATTATGTCCTTGCTCAACTGTTTCTTGTGGGGAAAACAAAATCCGAATGTTTCTCTGCTTGTTTGGGTATCCGATCTTTGTATTCAACGCCCTTCATTCACGTCATCGATTACTTCTCTTTTATTTGCTAGTCTTCAATTTGTGCGTGTGAAGCCTAACTGAAATTTCCATACTCTGAATTAAGTTTGGTTGTTGGTTCATCATCAGGATTGATGACAATATGGATGAATCATTGGCAAACGTAGAAGGTGCTCGGAGTGCTCTTTTAAGGCATCTTAACCAGATATCATCAAATAGATGGCTTCTTATAAAACTATTTGCCATTTTGATAATCTTCTTGATGCTCTTTATTTTCTTGGCGTAAAACATCAGCTCCCAAACCCTACTTCTAACACTTCTGCTGACGGTATTGCGTGGCTTTCTCCATGTCCATCTAAGTATACACTTATCATGAGTTTGATTGTGCTATTAGTTGGCCCCCATCTTCTGTAGATTCAAGGCCATTCCTTTTCTTTATGGGGTTCTATAAAGTTGACCGTGTACAAGAACGCAGCTATTTGTTTATATTTTCACACAAAGAAGCATATATACTGTATCGTGAGAGCTTGGATTTGGCATGATATATCAAGTTACTGCTTGGGACTATAAACTCAATCTCTTTGGCCTTATTTTGGATTTGTTTGTGCACATATCAGAATCTAAATTCATAACACTTGGATTCTCCTAGCTCTACTGAGCTTGATATCTTGTGAAACATAATACTGGGCATGCCTATTCTAAAGCAATGTAAGCTCTTCTTAAATGCTGAACAATGGGAAGCATATGATGAGCAGTAGTGATGCTCTTCTAACTATATGTTACATATCCTTGAAAGGATAAATTAAATTTAATTCTTTTTACAACTACTTTTAAATTTTGTGATTCAAACAGGAAAAATTCTAATAACAGAATTTTTATGTTTGGAAATTGAAATTTCAAATTGCACAGCTATAAAAACATTTTTTTTTAGTAAACGCATTTCATTTTTGTCAAAATTAATATATATATTACATATAATATTGTAAATATTAAACCAACAAATACCTTTACTACTTATAAATATAATATCAAATGCATTTTGAACAACATAGAGCAAAATAAAGAAACTGTGTCCACAGCCAAAACAAAAAGAAAAACAATTTTTCGAAAAAAGGGCGGACCACCTCTTATTTGCAGTTAAATGCTCTACCACTAAACTATGGACCCATTTTCGATATTTACAACGTATTTAATAAGGTTAATATTAACTTTCAAATTTAAAATTATATGTTTCGAAAATTTTGTATTAATGAAGATTAAATTTGTAATCCAAAAGATGGAGGGACTATTAATAACATTGTAATGACATATTCAAATGTTTATATGTTATAAAAATAATTTAATGATAAATCATTTTTTTCCTAACAAATTGTGACAATATTTTAATTAGATGACCTAGTATATAATTTTTTATATACAAGGATAAAGTTGAAAACTTTTAAAGATTCAAGCTAAATTTAAGAATCGACTAAACAAGTAGGGATCGTCAGGTATTGTGTTATTGTGTTCTTAGTGTAATAATATTAAACATGGCGAACAGCCTTAGTAGTATTAATATTACAACACAACTTATTTTAGGAGATACAGCCCAGCATGAACACAGAAGCAGCAGCAGCATCATTAGAATTCAAGTTCAAAACCAGAAGGTTTTTAGGGTATGCAGAATTTACAATTGGGTAATATACATATACAGAAATCAAACATCTTCGCCCTCCTCGCTTCCTCCTGCATCTGCTTCATGACTCACCCACAACAACCTGCTTTCATCAGCTCCCACAACCTTGACCCTGTTCAAACTATAATTATGTCTCAAATTCCTAAAAGAAAGTGCCAAATGATTTCTCTGGGTACTGACCTCTCAAGTACAAATTTCCCCTCCTTGTATTTCTGGCTCTTTTCATGGGCAGTCTCCTGAAAGAAAGCATAGGAATGAATGAATGACTGAATAGATGAGAAGTAAGAAGCAAAAACAGTTTGATGTTCTTACATATTTCCATCCCACTATTGATCCACACCCCACACAGAAGAGATCAGCTACTGTATGCATCCCTGTCATCATCAATCTCTCTTCTATCTTCCCCAACCACACATTTACCCTGCCATAAAATTTCATAATCACAACCTAGTCTGTCACAATTGGGTAAAGAACTGATTCATTGATATAGTTTTTGTAACTAGAGAATGGATGGAATTCCAGTAAAACCACTTGCCAAAGTAATCCCATGGAACCCATGAGTTCTGTTATGAAACATTAACTTCTGTATGCAACAAAGATAGAGCCCGTGGATCAATGACAGAAGCAGTAGTTCTATAATATCTTTGATACAGACACCCCACCCCTCTTGGAAGTGTCAAATTCTTAGGATCTGTTTGACTTATAGGTTAGAAATCAAATGTTTGGTAAGCAGAGCTATGAGTTCGCTACCCCCAATCCAATCCAAGCATATGAAAAGTACCTTTTGTATTGTTATATACTGAGTTTTACATATTATAAACCTACAACCCAAACATGGGGTACACAAAGGCAGTTGGGGGAGGGGATTTGTTAATCAGTTCCAATCTCTAAATTGAAGAAGGACTTACACCTTATTGAAGAGGTAAGCTTTCCCATGCCTGCAGTGGAAGGACTGTAGAACAACATAAACAGTACATGAAGTCAGAATGGCAAACTAGTCGAATCCAGAAGAACAGGTAATAGAAACTTAAATGTAACCTCAAAACAAATCAAGGCAGGTAAAAAGAACACAGGTAAACCTTGGAAATGATATCGTGGTAAAGAGCAAGATGGGTCCGGCAGTACTTGCAGCTATAGATCTGCCCTTCCAGATTCACCACAAACAATCTCCCCATAGCTCTACAGCCTAAGGTTCCCACAGATTATGTGGGAAAGCAATCAAAGCAGAACCCAGAATGAGAAATCGAAAAAGATTAGGCAGAAGGGTCAGCCAGAGGACTGCAGAATAGATACAGACGAAGCTTGAACAGTGAAAGAGATAAGAATAGATGAACGCAGTGCTTTATTATTGTCTATGACTCGATGCTTAGAGGGTTAAGCAATTATCGTATTTATAGCTTATACACTGAACAAGAAATAGTAAATCATCGAAATCTACTAACAATCTTCTAAAATCTTGGTAGTTTGAACATTGAATCATATCTCAATCATATCTTTTCAATATTTGAATCATATCTTCTTTCTCGGTTTTGTGTTCTTGTGTACAAAAGGGGGATTTTGTGGATTGTGAAGAAGGAGATGATTTTATAACACTATATTCCAAAAACATCCAATCCCATCACTATAAATAACCTATTTTGGAATATATATATATATATATATATATATTTAAATTAATTAACATAAGCATTTATATTTATTTATGTTTTATCATATAAATTCAATTAGTGTTAAAAATATATAGTTTTTTTGAATGTATTTTAGCAAGAATAATAAATGTGCTGTCTTTTTTAAAAATGTTGACTGCAAAAGGTTCGTTTTACAAAATATAAATGGGCCACAATTTGATTGGGCTTCTTGGGCTAACTAAAAGAACAGTGATTAAATTTTATTATTTAAATTATTTGCACATATATTATTACAAATATCAAATACATCGCTATTATTTGGATGATTGGGAAAAGTTATATAAACAAATAATAAATAAAAGGTGAAAACCCCATCATGTCCACATGCTTCCATCTCAATCCCTTTGTCCTCTTAAAGACAGAAAGTGATAGGTCATGTGGCTTCCAACATCACATATTATATTATATTATATTATATTTGATTAATCTTCCATTTCCTCCCAACTTCCCCCTTAATCCCAACATAATCTCATTTCTAATTCCCCTTTTACATCTCTCTCCAAATCTTAAATTATGTTTTATGTTTTCTGTTCACAAACCAATCCAAACATCCATTATATTACACAATATTAGGGCGCTAATTAATCCAAATTTGTCCGCCAACTTTCGATCTCATCATCTTCCATTCATTTAAACATGTTAAATTTATTTCAATCATCTTTCACATCGTGCCATGTTAAGTGTACATCGTACATTCAACTTCAAAACACGCGTTATATGAAAATGAATGATTTTGTCAATAATGTTGGGAAGAAAAAGAGTGGTTTATAAATTAATAAAACATGCATTGGGATATTTAAAAAAATAAAAAAAGAAGGTAAATTATAGGATGTGGATGACGTAAGAAATAAAGAATTAAAAGGGGAAGAAAATAAAATAGATAAAATAAGGGGAGTGGTGGGGGGCACACGTGCAGTGCAGGTGTGACAGGAGTGAAGAAAGGGGAAGGCATTGGAGAGTGTTAAATACGAAAGGAAAGACATAAACATACGCATGTTGGTAAAATATTGAATGACGTTGATGTGTATCGCTGAAACCTTATTCACTTACACACGTGTGCTTCCACACCTCGTGTCTCCTACCCTGTCCACTTTTTATTTTATTTTATTTTATTTTTATTATTATTCAATTTAAAATAGAATTTAATAACATAATTACCTAAAATGAAATTAAAAGATGATACAAATAAAAATAATATATATATATATATATATATATATTTTTTTTTTTTTTTTTTTTTTGTGGACTTTGTAAATGGGGGGTTAAGTGTTTAAGNAATACGTGAAAAATGAAATGAATATATAAACCCAATAATTTTGGTCCCATTTACAGAGGGAATAAATGTTTTTGCCACAAGATTTTATGAAAGATTTTGTGGTCCTTTTTTTTTTTTTTTTTTCTTTATTTTGTTTATCAATTCTACCTTTACACCACACACTACAAATTCTCACCACCATTTTTTATCAAACAAAAATAAGTCTAAACTTTAAAAATTATACTAAATTAGCTCCAACATTTCTAATTTCATATTAAATTATAAATTTATTTACTTTTTATTTGTGGTACAAAAAAATGAAAAAAAAAATAAAATCAAAATAATTATTAAAAGTATTAAAACGGGGACATTTTTGTGTCGGCAAGATGTAACATACAATTGAATTATGAGTGTCCCACGTTAGCAAAAAGAAAGGTAGTGTAAGAGCTACCTATCTAATTGTCATCCTACCTTATATTATAATTTTGATATCTTATTTTTGGGTTCAATTTATTTATTTATTTTATAACAATAATAATACAAACAAACAAAAATGTTTGGAAATTTCTCAAATTTATGAAAACTTTTGAGTATTAGCTTATGGAGAGAGATAATTTTGGGTGAACTGATATTTCTGAAATAATTGTATTGCAAAATCAAATATTTATATATTTATTTATTTATTTATCATATTCCCAACCACCTTAGCTAATCTTTTGAGATTGACCCTACTCAATTATTGTTATATTTTTATTTTTTATTTTTTAGTTGGGAATAATTAAATGATGAATATCTAGGAATATGCAAACAAATAGTTTTAAAATAAAACCTATAATTTCCACGTACTTATATACAAAAAAAAAAGCTTCTAAATCAGGATATGCATAATTTAATCCTATTTTTTCTTCAAATTATTCTACTAAAAAAAAGTAAATGATAAAATCATATTCTCACCATCAAACTAAATAAAAAGGGTACTTTTATTATTATTATTTATATACAATTCTTTAATTTACAAATTAAATGAGGAAAATTAGATGAAAACTTAAAAAATAAATTTTTATATGCGCAGCCTACCACTCGATCAGTTGACTTGGAAATTCAGCATAAGACATTCGTGTTGGTAGAGAGACTTTGTTCTTTCAAATGGATTGAGAGCTTTTTAGATTGTTGAGTATGCAAATTTCTTGGAGGAATGAATTTAGAAAGTTAGTATATCTATTAGAATGTGCAAATTTTAAAGGGACGACAATTATATTATTTGATCGTGAACGAATCATAAGGCTCTTAACTTTTTTTATTTTTGGAGGTAATTTGTATTGACTTTGGAATATTAAAAAAAAAAAATTAATTAAAAGGGTATCTTTGAGAGAGAGAAAGAGGGGGATGGTAGGGCATGTACCCTAAGCTAGAAGACAATGTGACTCCCATAAGAGCACGGACCCGTACCAACCAATATATTGGAAAGGATTGGTGGGTCAATTTTTATGGGGTTTTCGTTTTAATGGCTCAACTTTTTTATGTCAATTTGATGAATTATTGAATATGGGTGTAGTTCACTATCAATGTATATGTCACCATACCAAACCCTTTACCAATTCAACCATCTTTTTTAACCTCTAATAAATTTAAACACAATAAACTCACTATTCACTGCTAGAGGCGGTGAGTAATTCTAGTCTTATCAAAATAACATCGTGAACATAATGGACCAACCTAGTACCTATTGTCAAAATCGTTGGTCGAACGTTTCGTGTCATCGATGTCTTTTTTAAAAAATTAACTACTTAATTCATTTCTTTCTTTCTTTTTTTTAATAATAAACCCTTTATTCCTTTATCAAGTAAAAATGTGTCTGTGAAGGCATTACATTTTAATTGTCTCGTGTTCGTTAGTGAGAATAGTCTTTATTCTTACAAATGAAAAGGAAGTAATATGATCATGTCGTAGGGGAAATAAAAGAATGTGGTGAATTGGAATTGTGAATCAAGTCATTAAAGTAGGTTTGGGGAGTAAAATAAGGTGGATGGAAATACATTGAATGGGTATGGAGAGAGTATTTTGGAAGGCGATAACGATGAAGAAGAAACGAAGAATGCCAAAAGAATGCTCCAATGGAGGTAAAACAGAGGGCAGAGAGAGGATATAAGGTCTGTCAAAATGGAGCAGAATGTATGTGGATGAAGTTTTTAGGCTAGGCTTCCCCCATTAGGCCTGCACATTCCTATAAACCATACAAACAGAATTACAGTAAATAATGGATAATCCTCAAAAGAAGTGTTTGAATACAGAGCATCAGCTACCACTAAATACATGCATAAACATGTGATCATAATAAATGAATCAACCCTTTCATTCCTTACATTAATTAATTTCTTTTGTTCGGGTGAGAAGAAAGAAAGTTTGATGTTTCTCCAATTGGGGGAAACCATGTGATAGAACATGACATAAATCAACCTCTATCATTGCAGCCCACTCCTCTTCTAACTTTTTCTTTTCATTTTCAAACTCCACTCAAATCCCATAAATTTATATAGTAGTGCAATTATTAATTAAAATGTGAAATTTTTTATTTAAAAAAATGTCAGATAAAAAAAGTTAGACAAAAGGTGTCGGATAAAAAAGAAAATCCGACATTCATTTTCTCTCTCGAAGGAAAAAAAAAACAAAAAACTTTTTTTGCTTTTCTCTTCTTTTTCTTCCTTATTTCTTACTCCTCTGTTTATCAGTAATACCACCCGTGTGCCTCTGTCTCATCCCCATTTCCCCCCTTGAAAACAACAATTCCCCACTTTCTCTCTCTTCCTCATCCCCCTTCTCTCTCTCTCTAAAAACCCCCTTTTTTATTTATACCCCTCCATGTCTCCCATTTTCCTCTAAACCCCATTTCCCCCAATTCTTTTTCAATTCAGTCCCCATGGCCTTTTTCTTTTTTCTCCTCTTCTTTTCCTCTGTTTTCGCCTCTTCTCTGTTTCTCTTTCTCTTTCTCCGGCCGGCGAGATTCCGGCGTGCCAGGCTGCCACCGGGGACACTCGGCCTCCCCTTCATCGGAGAGTCTCTTCAACTCATCTCCGCTTACAAGACCGAGAACCCCGAACCCTTCATCGACGAGCGTGTGCGACGATTCGGACCGGTTTTTACAACCCACGTGTTCGGAGAGCCGACGGTTTTCTCGGCGGATTGGGAGACGAACCGGTTCATTCTTCAGAATGAGGAGAAGCTTTTCGAGTGCAGCTACCCGGGTTCGATTTCGAACCTGCTTGGGAAGCACTCTTTGTTGGTGATGAAAGGGAGTTTGCATAAGAGAATGCATTCTTTGACTATGAGCTTCGGGAATTCTTCCATTATTAGGGATCATCTTTTGGTC